TGTCAAGCACATTAGTTGCTAAGGAGAAAAGGCAAAAATCACTGCTTCCCAATGTGGCGGTGCAAACAGCTAGGAGGAACTGCAGGGTGGGGATGAGCCGAGAGGGACAGACCGGGGAGAGGGAGTCGAGGAAGAAAGTGTCCTGAAGAATTACCCCCACCCAAAGAGAGGCCCGGCTTCGGCCTGGCCCCTGGAAGGCAACCTCTAAGTCCTTGTCATTTCCCAAGTGAAGGAAAGGTCTTTGCTATTTTTGGTGAGCCCTCGGGACCACATCTGATCACTGACGCGGGGGGCTGGCCACACCAGAAAGGCCAACCATGTGGTTAGAGTTGAGACTTGGGGCCACACGTCATCAGTCCCATTCCCGGGCAGGGGAGGGCGCTGGAGATGGAGTATAACACCTGGGTTGCATCAGGTCAATCGTGCCTGCATAACGACACCCCAATAAAACGCGAGACACCGAGGCGCAGGTGAGCACCACCGCATGTCAACGCTGGGAGGAAACGCAGCCCTGAGGACACACACGCTGCGCCTGGAGCCCTCCCCGGGATCCCGCCTGTGCCTCTGCCTCTGGCTGGTTCTGATCTGTATACTTTTGCTACAATAAAACTGTAAGCATCGGACTTCCCTGAGATCTATGAGTCGGTCTATAGGTTACTGAACCCAAGGCAGTCCGCGGGGACCCTGAATTTGTAACTGGCTGGCCTGCAGTGAGGGTGGTCTTGGGGGGTCCCAAACTTGGGGCTAGTGTCAGAAGGCTTGGGCAGACTGCGCAGTCTGGGGAACTGTGTCCTTAACCTTGAGTTTGGTGCCGAGAGAGGTACAAGAGGACTTTGAGGGGCAGGCGGAGCCAAGTCTGTGTTTACCTGGCGAAGGGGGACCACCCACGACTGTACCAGGGGGAGGAGCCTACAAATGGAACCTGACGTTGGCCACACAAGGGCAGCCAGGTCATGGTGGTGGTGACCGGGGGACATGGACTGGATGTATGCTGAGGGCACAAGGTGAACACGTGATGGAGACTGTACTGGACACGCTGGGACTTGGTGAGTGTGAAGATGGAGATATGTGGGCTGGATTCTAAGACATTCCAGCAAGTCTAACGAACTTAGTGATGTCAGTAGCCACTAATATGGGTTACTCTCTGTACCTGGAATCTTGGAGGAACAGTTGTCCATAATCCAGATTTTTTTTTTTCATTAAATCTAATTGACCATCCACTAATTCAAATGAAATTTTTTTTTTAGTAATTAACATCACAAACGGAGCTACCCAGCATCCCTCAGGCCTCGCAGGACCCTGTCCCCACTCCAGAATCGGAATAGAGCCCCAGTAAACCCCCAGCCCATTCGGTCCTGGCATAGAGGCAGAAGCTGCCTCCAGTCTGGGAAAATGTGGCACATTCCTCAGCGGGGAGTGGCTGCCCTTGGACAGAAAGGGGCGGGGAGCGGGGAGGAAACAAAATAATTCCTGAATTTGGAGGAGAGGCAGATAATATTACAAAGGTTAATCAAGGAAGTCACGCCACAGCAGGGTCCAGGCAAGAGGAGGCGATCAAGCTGTGCATGCTTGTGTCCGGAGCGGGGCTGGAAAGAAACGATCCACTTTTTGCTTCAATATCCAGAGCCACATTTGGGCTCTGCTCTCATGGTTTGAGGGGCCCTGATGGGAAAGCTGACTGCCAGGGGCCCAGTGCTGAACCAAGGAGGCACTGGTATCATTGATGGCCTCCTAGGTCACTAGATCTGAAGGCTGACGTTCACCTCATGCTCACAGATGCTGCAGCATTGGGCTAAAATATTACAATATTCCTACCATGGCTGGTTGTTCTGATCCTGTAGGCACCCCCCTCCCCTAGGACGTCCCCAGCTTCCTGTGACTCAGCAATTACAGGGCTGCCACCAGCAGGGTCCCCTTGAGCCAACCAGCTGCATTGCCTAAGTTCATTCTGATAGGCTGGTTCCCACGCCCGAGTGGCTCTTAAATACTTGACTATCGCCCCTGACCCCATCCGCTTCTAGAATCTGTATAAACTGGAAGTCTTCGTAGGGCGTCGAATCCCAAATACCTCTTCTTCCTGGTCCTCCTGGTCCCTGTGGGCAGCTGATCTCCTGGGAGGGTTTGAGTTGTCACCTTCAGCATCTTCAGTGGCATGTTCTTGAAGCATGGATGCCTGCAGCTGTCAGCAAGCAAGGAAAGGAAGTGCTTGACTCAGGCTTAGAATCAGAATCACAACTCTATGCCAAATAAAGGCTTTCGTTAAACATTATCTACGTACCAACCATTGTTCTAAACTCTCTCTGCATTATCTCACTTAGCCTTCATAACAATCTTTTTATATAAGTATAGTCATCACCCCATTTGACAGAGGTAAACTATAGCACAGAAAGGTTAAGGAATGTGCCCAGGATCACACAGGTGGAAAGGCTCCTTAGCAGCAGAGCCAGGATTCAAACCCAGGCAGGGATTCCAGAGCATGCGCTCTTCTCCATGGTGCTCCAGAGGTGCCAAATCAATCAGTCTTTACAGTAAACCAATGCACATACAAGAGTGCCTTTCTATTTTAAAAAAGAGTGAGAGAGAGTCATAAAACCATCCGTTGTACCTTTGACATACTTAGTGCCTTGTGACCAAAACATCCAGATTTCTAAGTACAAAATTAGGAGATTAATGACTGCTATGGTCTGAATGTTTCTGTCTCCCTCTAAAATTAATATGTTGAAATCCCAATCCCCCAAAGATGACAGTATTAGAAGGTGGGGCCTTTGGGGGTTGGTTAGGTCATGAGGGTGGAGCCCTCAGGAATGGGATTAGTGCCCTTATAAAAGGGACTCCAGAGAGCTCCTCACCCTTCCACTATGTGAGGACACAGTGAGAAGGTGCCATCTATGAACCAGGATGGGGCCCCAACCAGAAGATGAACATACTGGAGCCTTCTTGATCTTGGACTTCCAAGCCTCCAGGACTGTGAGAAATAAATGTCTGTTTTTTAAAAGTGCCACCCAGTCTGTGGTACTTTGTTATAGCAGCCCGAACAGACTAAGACAATGACTTTTCTAACACAAATATACTTTTCTAAAACAGAACACCACTTTATAAAAAACAGCTAGGAAAATAATCTGTAGGAAAAAGATCTAGGTGCAGTCGCCATTCAGTTTGGCCTGGTTTTACCCGAGTTTAAATAGAATATTTCTTTCAAGTTGCTGTGAAACTTAATGTCCTATGTTGAAGGTTGTTCCTAGAATGATTTCATGGGTGACATGTGGCACATTAGGCATGCAAGTATCTCTACCTTTCCTTCTTCAACGAGTCTGCAACTAATATTTGCAGGCCCCCGGGCGAAGGTCACAATGGAAGTCCACAAGCCATATGTTCAAATATTTAAAACTATAAATTAAGCCAACAAACTCTTAAATAAAATATGTTCCAGCCTCCTATCTTGATAAACAAATCTTCGTAAGAACTTGAAAGACCAGGTTCAAATTCAGAGTCTCGGGAGAGCTGGCCCTGCACAATGACATGCCACCCCCTCCTCTCCATCTCTGGTTCTGTCCCACAGCTGGAAGGCCTGTATGCGAACCCGTGGATACTCCCCCCAATGTCCACATTCACCCACCCTCCCCACAGACAGCAGCCCCGTGGCCACACCAGGATCTAGTGGTGCCAGTGGTGTAGTTGAGCTTTGTAGGGCCCGCAAGTGGGCTTGGTGCATCTGGACAGGAATCCAGGGTGCTGGGCACCAAGGGAGGCTCCGGGCAAGGCTCTCCCCTTGGCCGATGGTTCCTTGCCCCAGGGTGAGGGATGGGACTCAAAGTAACATTGTCTGTCTCCTTCAAACCCTAGTTCCTCTTCCTGTCAACTTAAGGGAGAAAATACCAAAGAAGAAATGGAAGGTAATCTCTCCACTTCCATCTCTAACTCTGGACATTTCTGGTCCTATGCCAGAATTGGTTGAAGTAAACATGAATAATTTGATAGACGCATGATACTGGACTTTGTGAATCTTAGTGACTCTTCTCCTCAGTCAGAATACACTTTGCAGTCAGTTCCCTTAGCTAAGCATCTAATGATATTTGAGCTGGGTGCTGTCTGAAATAAAATAATTTTAAATTAGTTACTTGCAGCTTTCTAAAAACACATGTGCCAAAGGACGTGCGCAAAGAGGTCTATAGAAGCACTATTTGTAATTACTAAAACTGGAAACAAGCCAAATAACTATCAGTATGCGAATGGTAACTAAATTGTGGTATATTCATGCAAGGGAGAGTTATAGCCATCACACACACACACGCACAAGCAGAGTTTGCAAGACCTAAGATTTAAATCTGCTTGCCCTTAACAGAACATTATTCTGGAAAAGTCAAACTCTACAGAAGAGAACACATCTGGGGAGGGCCAGCTGCCCACCTCAACACTGTCCTTCTGGCCCGGTCAGCCCAGCGCGCTCGCTCAACCCCTGACTTCTACTCCCAAGGAACCCACATTCCTACGCACGGTGAGTGAACTGAAATGAATGACTCTTACCTGGGATTTCCGATGATTGGCTCTAAGAATAAACGGCTTAATCAGGAGCATCCACGGCACAGAAATCAAAGCCATAATAACAAAGAAAATTTGGACTTCTTGCTGCAAGATCAGAATGGCAAGATCTTATCATTTTAAGGTGACCATACAGACTACAAAGGTATGATAAAAATGCTAAATATGGGTCACTTCAGTTGCATTTTATTTTGAAAGATCTAAAGCCTTTCAGTGAATTAATTCGCCTTCACACCGTGGAATATTCCAGCTGCAGACAGAGAAATGTCAATCCAGTGGTTCCCAGTGTCCAATACTGGGAAACCAGCCAACTCCCAATGACGTTTCCAAAGGGCAAAAGCTGGAAAAGCCATTCACTGCATGTTCCAGACTAAGCGAGGACTCGGTCTTCGTGAAAATGGCTATTAGCACATGAACTCTGGTGAATTTCAGTCCTTGGCCTAAAAGAGGAGACTTGTCTGGAAAATCCAAGTAAACATTCATTTATACTCGAGCAGTGAGTAAACAAACCTTCCAAATATGTTCATTTAATGCTAAAGGCTAGGGGTGGTTCAAGGTCACCTCTGATGTATAAAAAGGTAGGCTACCACGAGAGAGCTTTTGGAGGTATATGTCTTCTCTGGTTAGCATCTAAAATTGTCTCTTATTTTTCATTAAAAACAAAAAGGCCCATCGCAAGGCATTTTTCAAAAATATTTTTTAAAATATGTCTGTATTGATTTCAGAGGGAGGAATGGAGAGGGAGAGGGAAATAGAAACCTCAGTGACGAGAGAGTCATTGATCGGCTGCCTCCTGCACGCCCCCTGCTGGGGATCGAGCCCGCAACCCGGGCGTGTGCCCTGATTAGGAATCGAACCAGGATCTCCTGGATCATAGGTCGATGCTCAACCATTGAGCCACGCTGGCCTGGCACGAGGCATTTTTTTCCTCTTGTTATTTGCTGCTTCTGTAGGGAAGGAGACTACAACTAGGGATCAAACTGGTGAGGACATGCATGGCCATAGGAGAAACCTGACTGTAACTAGGACACCCAGGATGCGCAATCGCTGTCAGGTACAGGGACGCCACAGGTCACCTGGCATCGGGAAACTCACCCTAGAACTTAATGCAGAGGAATCAGAACCTACATACGTGGGCCTTCCTTCGGTGAAAAATCTACCTCCAAGCAATATTATCAGGTTAATCGCTGGGAGAGCCCAGAGGAAGAGAGCTATTTGTGTTACCAAAGAATGACTCACTGAGAGACATTTATATCCAGCTCCCATGGAACATTAGTACTTTGTAAAAATAAAATAGTCAGTTGAGAATGAAGCTGAAAGAAATGGAATGAAGCAATGGAGTCCAGCTGCTGGGCAGTCCTATCCCCAAAAGAAGGGCCCAAACGAAAAACAGAGATGAAATGCCCCTCCGACGAGCCAGCGGGGCTCCCAGGGGAGCCTGAGATCAGACCACAATTTTCAGAAAACCCACTAACCACGGTAACAGAGCGACTCCACTCCTGNCTTTGTAAAAATAAAATAGTCAGTTGAGAATGAAGCTGAAAGAAATGGAAGGAAGCAATGGAGTCTGGCTGCTGGGCGGTCCTGTCCCCAAAAGGGCCCAAACGAAAAACAGAGATGAAATGCCCCTCCGATGAGCCAGTGGGGCTCCCAGGGGAGCCTGAGCTCGGACCACAATTTTCAGAAAACCCACTAACCATGGGAAGAGAAGAACTCCACTCCTTACCCTATTTCCACTCTCTGTCTTATACACCTTAACTGGAGTTTACCTTTAGAATAAAAGATTATTGCCCGGCCGGGCGTGGCTCAGTGGTTGAGCGTCGACCTGGGATCCAGGCGATAGGGATTTAATTCCCGGTCAGGATNTTGAGCGTCGACCTGGGATCCAGGCGATAGGGGTTCGATTCCCGGTCAGGATACATGCCCAGTTGCAGGCTCGATCAATGGCTCTCTCATCATTGATGTTTCTATCTCTCTCCCTCTCCTTTCCTCTCTCTGAAATCAATAAAGATATATATTTTTAAAAATAGAATAAAAGATTATTAAATGTTAGGGCGCTACACAGAGCATTTACGGCTCCAAGCCAGTAAATTGAAGCATTGGTTTTTCTTTTTTCACAGACACTGAACACGTCCATTTCTTTCTGTTTTTGTTTTGTTTTTTAAAATTTTTTTTAAATTGATTTTGGAGAGAGAGTAAGGGTAAGGGAGGGCAGGAGAGGGAGAGAGATAAAGAGAGACACAGAGAGAATCAATGTGTTGTTCCACTTACTCAACCCTTCATTGGCCGCTTCTCGTATGTAGCCTGACCGGGGATCGAACCGGCCACCTTGGCGTATCGGGACAGCGCTCTAACCCACTGAGCTACCCGACAAGTCCTTTTTGAACCCCATCGCAATAACCCTCTCGTGGATCGGAACAGCTGGAGCTGCTGCTAGGCTGGGCACCCTGGGCTGGGTGCCGAGGTGGCTCAGTCTCGCGGATAACTAGCCTGTGCGGGGCCGGAGGGCGTGAGAGCTCTGCCGCAAGCAGCGCATAAGAGAAGCCCCTTGGTACCTGATGCTCGTACAGCGGAGCGTTCGAGGCGTCGCTGTAGTTGAACATGAACATGTTGATGAAGTGGATTAGGATGCTGGGCGCCTTCCGGGACACGTGGACATCGAAGGAGCACCACTTGAAAATGATCATGAAGACCAGGTATCCAAACAGACACAGCATAAAAATCATCTCCGGAATGAACTGCAGGAGGATGTTGATGGTCTTTCGGAAGTATCTGGGGGTGGGAAACACACACACAGGAGGGAACCTTGAGAAAAAAATACCAGTAACCAGTAATTCTCCCCCAAAGCACAACATGTGGACTGCGTCCACTCCCCGGGGAAGCAGCGGGCGTGCACGGGTGGAAAGGAAAGTGCTTTCGCACAAGAGGGCTGGAGAGAGCCAAGGGCTGAAGGTCAAGCCTGCAGCAAAGGTCACGCCACACAGTCCGCTGGCGGTTTGGCCGAAGCTTCAAATGCAGGCCCAGCTCATACCGACACACTGAAAGTACACGGATGCACAAGGGCGACTAGGAAGCTTTCTCCTGAGAATGCCTAAAAATAAGGGGGGCAAAGTAGGGTCCTTGGGCCATACTGAGCCCACTGTCACACATTTCCATACAGCCTACAGGTTAAAAAATGATTTTCATATTTAAAATGGCTGGGAAGGGCAATCAACAGAATAATAATATTTCATGAATATATAAAATTCAAATTTCAGCATTCATTAATAAAGTTTTATTGGCACAGAGTCACACTCATCCGCTTACGTATTGTCAATGGCAACTTTCACGTTCCAACGCCAGAAATGAGTAGTTGAGACAAGAGACCCGAAAAGCCTAGTAGACTTACTATTGAGGCTTTACAGAGAAAGTGTGCCAACTCCAGCTCTAAGGCCCAAAGGAGCACAGGCTAAGTTTCGGGCCCCCAAGTTAAAATGTCAGAAAGGGCCCCCAAACCCTTTGTAAATTGCAAGAGCTAGAAAAGGAAATCCCGTGGGGAAAAAAAACAAAAAATGGGGTTATCAGAGACCTGAGGCCAGCCTGACACATATGATGCCTAATAAGGTCTAGTCCAGAAGGTACTCCCGGGGATTCTCTCTCATTGAGTCCTCATAGTGCTCCCAGATGGGCACTCGTACCAGGGTGCTTAGCATTAGTTTGCACACCAAATACCTCCGACTTTTCCGTAGAATTGTACTTCTTTGGCCTTTCAGATCTGGGATCACCATGTGACTGGCTCTGGCCAATAAAATGGGATCAGAAGTGGCAGGTGTCACTTTGGGGTGGACGCTTAAGAATCACCGTATAATTGACCACTCTCCTTCTGCCACAGCAACTGGCAGTGTCTCAGCTTGTGGCGGCCCATCAGCCCAGGTCTCAGTGTGAGAATGACAGACACAGACCCCCCGGTGGGCATGTCTCACAGTCTTGAGCTGAGCCACTGAGACTTGGGAGTTGTTTGTTACCTCACAGTAACCTAACTCATTCTGACTACTAACTTCCCATTCTATAAAAGAAAGTCTCAGAGATGACAAGCAACATGACCATGGTCACACAGCTATGGAACCAGTACTTAAAACTTCTGATTCCAAGCCCTGCGCGGTGTCTGTGGCCCCATGCTTCCCTCGCTTCCTCCCAGTCTACACGGCAGCAACCCCTACCAGCTGCCAGGTCCACACAGGGTGCCTCTGAACAGGCACTTGGAAGCTGTTCTCAAAGATTTACACCTGCAGCGGAAGCAAGTTAGAGAAGTTGTCCAGAGGGTATTTGATCAAAGGTTTCTGATCAATGTACAGAAACAAGCCTTCAGGGGCACAAAGCACTGCGGGCTTGCCAGCCTCATTCTGAACCCTCAGATATTTCTGAGATGAAAGGTGCACTCACCTTTGAGGAGACACAGAGGGGCCATTTCTGGCCACTAGCTTGTCCTAGCTCATGCCAAGAGACACAGGGAAGCTCTCCCATAGGAAGGAGCCTCGCACAGAGGGACACAGGACCCAACCCATCGTCAGTGGGGTCAGACCAACAGGAAGGCAGTGACTCATAAACTCACATGTGATTGAAAAGGCTGAGAATGACGCCAAAAGTCATCTGGACGATGCCCAGGATCACGGACATCTTCATTTTATAGGAGTTCAAGAATGTCAGCTTGTTTGAAGCCAGGTTCCAAATCTGGGTGGGAAAGGTGAAGAATGCGTGAGGCCAGAATCCAGATGTCCTACCCGGAGTGGGGACCACAGCACCATTTCCCCTGGGAAGTCGCGCTGGGAACCCCAGTCTCAAGTCTCAGTCCAGTTCCACTCATGCATTTTAGGTTCAGAAAAGGACCGCGTCCCTTATAAATGCAACTCTGGTGACATTAGTGCCAGTAAAATATCACGTGGCTGAAGGGAAACGGGGGAGGAAAACCGTATGTGATTTTTCCCTTGTTCGAAGTGAAAAGAAATCCTGAAGTATTATGGAGATCCCAGACTTGCCTCAGTTCCCTTAATAAAGGTGTAGGTCTGTGGCCCATGAACTTATCCAATCCTTCTTAATAATAAAAGCATGGCCCACCCGGCTGGTGTGGCTAAGCAGTTGAGCAACAACCTAGGATCCAGGAGATCGGGGTTCGCTTCCCCGTCAGGGCACAGGCCCGGGTTGTGGGCTCGATCCCCAGTCAGGGGCGTGCAGGAGGCAGCCGATCAATGACTCTCATCATTGATGTTCCTCTCTCTCCCTCTCCCTTCTTCTCTCTGAAATCAATAAAGATATATATATTTTTTAAAAACTGCTTTAAATAACAAACATCATGTTTTATTTTGAATTTCTATAGCTCTTCACATTACAAAGCATCTTCCAGGCCCTTCTCAAGAAGTCACTCCCATAGTCAATATTTATAGCACTATGGGTAAGACATGGTCCCCGCCTTCTCTGAGGTCCCTGTCTGTCAACTTGCAAAGTGATGGACACATGTACCTGCCTGCCCCACAGGAGAAGGACACAGAGAGCAAGCACTCGCAGGGTCGGGGCTGGCAGGGTCTCATGCTGCTTAGTGCCCCCAGCCCCCAAGGCGCATCTTCCCCACAGAAATCTTAAACCCCACTGAGGCTTCCAATCCCCACCCGCATGCAAAGGACCCAAGTCCTGGCAACTACGTCTGAAGCCTCTCCCACTTTACATCCCCAACTGCCTGTCAACCCATCTGGAGGGTCTGCCACACTGCATGTCAAAGGTAACAAAGCCACAAAGTTCTCCTCGACCCTCCTGCAGTGAGTGACTTGGGGTCAGCACCCGCCTAGGCACAGTCTCAGTGCACAGTCCCCTGCCCTGTCCCCTGGGCGCCCACAGGGCCAGGGACCGCATTTCCCTGATTCTTTCTTTACAGTGTTCTGAGTGGCTGCCAGCTGGACGATCGCTAAGGCGGCTGCTGGGGAGGGGACAGCAGGGACGTCAGTGATGCTGCTCACACACCAGAGGGGCCTCCTCCATCCGCCCCGGGTGCCCTGACCTCTAGGCTGCAGCAGGCTTGCCCTGCACGCTCTGCTCTTCCTTCGCCCACCGGGTTGGCCCAGCCCGCAGGATCCCTCAGCATTAGGAGGGTAACCAGCACCCCCAGAGCCAGCCAAATCTGATGAACGAAATGAGCTCATGATTAAGTACCAGGCACACACTAAGCTTCTTGAATGCGTTTCTCCCATCTCACAAAACCACTAGGAGATCGAGACAGCAGTCCCCCCTTCTCTACGGTCTTACTTGCCTGCGGTCGACTGCGGTCTGAAAATATTAAGTGGAAAATCCCAGAAATAAACAATTCGTAAGTTTTCAGCTGTGCACCGTTCTGAGCAGTGTGATGAAATCTCACACCGTCCCCTTCCGTCCGTCCTGCGTCGCGAGCCATCCCTTCGTCCAGCATCTCCCCTGTACCTGCTCCGCACTCGGTCACTTAGTAGCCGTCTCAGCTATCAGCTTGACTGCCACAGTACCCCAGTGCTGTGTTCAAGTCACCCTTATTTCACTTAATAAGGACGGGCCCCAAAGCCCAAGAGTAGTGATGCTGGCAATTGGGATACGCCAGAGAGATGCCACAAAGTGCTTCCCTGAAGTGAAAAGGTGAGCACAGTACCACGAGATATTGTGAGAGAGAGATCATACTAACATAACTTTTATTACAATATATCATTATCATTGATGTATTTTATTATTAGTTATTGTTAATGTCTTACGGTGTCTAATTTGTAAATTAAACTTTATCATAGGCATGTATGTATCGTAACATAGATTCAGTACTATCCATGATTTCAGGCATCCCCTGGGGGTCTTGGAACACATCCCTGTGAACAAGGGAGGACTACTGGATAAGGATTCCCATTTTACAGATAAGGGACTTTATCTTGATTTCAGGGAGGTTAAGTTACTTAAACACCCAGGAAGAAGTAATATTATAACAAATGGAGCATTTACTCCATTTATGCACCAGACTCTTTCTAGGTGTTTTACATGTGAAAATCATTTAATCTTGTTATCAGAGAAAAAGGAGTCTTGACTTCCCCCATTGCTAGTGGGAGTGGAATTCTTGGGGTACCACTGGATAAGCATTTCTGGGGGCCCCCACGGGAGGATGTGATATAGCAGAAAGCTTTATTTCCATGCAATTACATCCCTGGTTTCCAAAGTCCTATTTTCCTTTGTCCAGTCACAGAAGTAGTTGGGGTCTCAGTAGAGCTAAAATCAGAGCCAGTGTCCAGTGTTTCAGGCCAGTTAAACACAAACTGTCTGATTCCAAAGTGTGGGCTTTTAACCACTGTTATGTTCATTTATCATAAAATATTTACAGGCACCTTTAGAAAGACCTCTCAGCTCCGATAGCCAAATATTTCATGATCTGATTCAAAACAGATGCTGCACACAGTCAATAAATGCAGCTGTAGAAATTTATATTATGTAAAAGTCAAACCCTTCATTAATAAACGTTAAGTGCTGACATAGGCATGGAGATGTTCTGTTTAACAGGTTATCTCTGAGAAACAACAGGACTGCAGGAACTGAGGAGGTGGGGAAGGCAACTCTTTCTTTTCATTTTCATGATATTTTGTATTATATGGACTTTAATCACCTATATTATTATTCTATAATAAAAAGACCAGAAAATTTCAAAAACCTACGTGTTACCTGGAAAAAAAATTATTTTCGACATCCCACCTTTTCTTTCACCCTCACATCTCCCTTTCTTTTCTGACCACTGGACAGATGACAAATGGCACACAGAGCAGAAACTGCGGACCGCTCAGGCCTGAGATGTGACACGTGTCTCCCTTTGAGGAGCAGAATCGGGCAGACAGGACTGGCCACTGAGTTAGATATGAGGGAGGAGAGTAGGAGCAATACGACTCAAAGCGAGGTCAGCCAGGCCCTAAAATCAGCCCCCTCTGCGCTCGCTAATCATGAAACTCCTAAGACCAAAGAGAAAACCCTCCCGTCGAGGAAAATAACAACTCGCATTTGTTTTTAGCACTTGGAAGCTCACAAACCAGCTTTCAAGGACTACTTCTTTTGATAAAACTTGGAATGCAAGTGCCCCCGGGCAGCAAGTATAAACAAATCCTGGGTAATCCTCTGTTTTTACAGGGCAGGGGAGGAGGGCAGACAGTGGGGGGACCCAGAAAAACAGAATGAGGGGATCACCCAAGAGATAGGAGAGAGCAGAGAACCAATGTTGGGGCCGGTGCTGTTCACTCTCACCCAGCAGCAACTAAAACTGAGGCTTCAGGTTCCCTCCCACAGATGGAGCTGAGAAGAAAGACTCAGGGAAGGCATCTGCCAAGCTCAGTCTAGACGGCCCATGTCATTTAAAGCACAACACCACCACCTCGTGGCGGTGTGCACCGGGCCACCGTGTGTGAGTGTCTTCTGGAAATCCCTTCCTACCTAAAGGCTGTGTGAGGAAGCCCCTGGGTTTGGCTTGGCTCAGGTCCAACTGAGATGTTTATAACAAACAAAGAAAAGTTGACAACCTTTTTTTTTTTTTTACTTAATTATACACAATAAAATAAAACCCAAATAAAAGCAAATCCATATTTTTCTAGGGAAGAAAAACTGTTACCCCATTGCATTGACTAGGATGCTAAATTGCTGATCTAACACACATACTTTCCAGGCAACCGGGCCTTTTAAAGAAGCAGTCATTACCCGCCGGGGTGTAAGTGATAGAGGCAGAGGCAGATGCTTGGGGAATCGTACGGAAAATGACCCAGGGGCTGCTAGGACACTTACTTGAATTCAGCCCAGTGTGTCACAAAAACCTCCCATCCAGGTAATTCTAATATAAGTTGGTGGATTTGACAAGTTCTGGCGCTTTCTTTCCCTCCCCTCCCCGGCCCCAGATCTCCTTAGCAAGACATTCAACTAGTAACTATTTAAGTCAAGAGGACATTGTTACCGGATCGATCCCAAAGGGGTATGGATTCCCAGAGTACACTCCTGGAATGGCGGGGTTCAGCTGTAAGAGCGGATTTGTTTCGATCGTTTTCATACTACAGGGGGAGAGAGGAAAAACAAAAGCAAAGCCAGTGAGCAACCAAAGGCAGGAAAAAATCCCAGGGTGCCATCCGTCAAGCCAACCAAAGCCTAACTGTGGGTGCATCTCACCCATTTGGCTCACTCGGCTATTCCATGAATGGGTCCCAAATCCCCACTGTGTGCCAGGTACACCATCCTGGGCGCTGAGGCGACAAGAACGACCTGCTAACCCCCAAGGAGTTTTCAAAGCACTCCCAGCCTGATGGGGTATATACAGTAAAGAAAAAGTTTCACTACATCAGAAAAAAAGGTAGGGGAATGGATGAAGGAGCCTATGGGAGCTAGATCCCAGCCCAGGGACAAGCCTGGGAGCTCTCCCCTGGGAGCACGTGGGCTGATCCTGGAGGAGAGATCTGGCTTCCACCCAGGGACCCTGATCTCTGTGAAACTTGGCCCTCAACAGTTGGGGTCCATGAGTGTCTTTAAATCTGTGTCCCATTTTTACCCAGAAGCACACATCTATAGAGAGCCCCAGAAATGAGTATTGGAAATGGTGAGGGACAGAGTAGTGGCAATGCTGATAGGCTGTCTGGAAACACACTCCTTCCCTCCTGCCACTGAGGGGCCAGAGGGCATTTGGTAACAGAGAGGATTAGGGAGTCCGGTCATGCCCCCCAGGCCCTCCATGTGCAGGGAACACAGCTGGCCCTGACTGGCCATCTTAGACACACACAGGCCCCTGTCCTAGCAACGTGCCTCAGGGCAAATGGTTGGGTTTCACTAGCAGAGGCGTGTTTGTGTGTCCACACACCACAAAGCTGCCCCTGACGAGAGGGAACCGGCCGGGTACCTGCGGCTAAGCCTGCTGTTGAGCATAAACAATTTCGCAGAACACAGACATCAGACAAGGCCACCCTGTGACCGCGCTGGATCAAGACGAAAGCAAGACCGTTCCACGACCAGATCTGATATTGAAACATGGACATATCAACAGAAGGACAGTGTCCAAACCACAGAAATGACCGGAGATAACCTTTATCCTCTGAGAGGCCAAATCCCTTAAGTCAGTCCTTTCTGACACCCTCTTCCAAGATGCCCATTGTCCCCAGGGCTGTGCCATCTCTCTCACTGAGTCAATAAGCCCAATTTGGGGTGATGGTAGGCATGTGTCTGGTGCTCTTTGTGGCTGAAGGACATTGTGACAACGTCCCTAGTCAATTGTCAGGGAAAGTGGGCCCAAGATCTACCTCGAGGCCGGTGACCAGAGTCAGCCTGCTGTGTATCCTTGCCACTCTGATGGATCCTACAATTTCCTTTTGCCTCGCTGCTGATGAGGTTCTGCTCTGTGCCACTGACCCCCGAGCATGTGGCTGAGCTTCCCTGAGACTGCGCTTGGCCTTGAAGTGCCTGGAATGGGGCAGAGGTAATTCACACAGGCCTAAAACAACAGCATTTTGACCCACATTTGCAGAGTGATAACAAGACAGTTGACTTGGTCCTTTCACAATCACACTCCAAGGTTAACACAATTCTGTGTTGGTAGTTTGGTGAAATTACGCTGATTTAACACATGTCAAAGTCCATCGCTGTGCTTACAAGTTTACATCTGAAGAGCAGAACTAAGTAATTCGTCTTTAAATTTCTTAAAGTTTTGTTCCTTTAGGTATCTCTTCGGGATCCTAATTGCAAAGCAAAACAAAGCAGTGAAGAACCCCACAGATGTAGCCATCTGTAATTCTGGAAAACGTTTTCGTCTTCATTTTATTGAATTACTTGTAGCATCCCTGTCCTCTACTACAGGGGACTTGGACCCAGCAGAGAAACTGGAAAGGAATGCACTGAAGCTCCATGGCCCACCCCCACTGGGACAGTCCCTCTGAGCCCACCTGTGCCTCCATCAGCATCAAGCCCTTCGAGTGCACGTGGGACAGCTTCAAGTCAAAACAAATCCTGGATTGAATCTTTTCTACTGAAAAATCCTTGGATGAGGCTGATGGCTTATTCTCCCCCCAATGATGATGTTAGCAGAGATTTCAGGGAGCAGGTAAAACCCCTGAAGTACCTTAAATAGAAACTTAGAGTCCTACCCTGCTTGGGAGAGGAAAGGTGGGAAGTGAGGTTGTAAAAACGTTCACACATCTCTGACTACACTTCCTTCCAGTTCCCTTCTGTTCCAGGGTGAGACAGAGAAACCTGAAGCTGACCCGAACAAGCTGGGCAGACAGACATGAGGAAACGTCACCTGTGACTTTTAGGCCGTGCAAATTTGCCCTGAAAATACTGTGCTTACTATCTCAGATCTGTGATGCAGGCAGCAAAGAGCCCCAAAGATCACAGGGCCGTCACGATTTCTATTTGTTTCCTTTGCAACCCCTTATCCCCCACTGCCCTTCATCAACTGACCTATCTCTCAAACTCTCAACTCTTCCCCTCTCCTCACAAAAGTGTCCATTCCTGAAGCGTTGTGTTTCCATTCTGATGACTGTTCATCTGATTAACTGCATAAAATAACTGGATGCCTATGGGAGGTGTGGTCCATGGGGACATAGAGAGCTTCCAGGTCTCACTTTCCTGCAGCCAGCACACCTCAGCAGCCACCCCACCACCCCTAACCACCACACCTGTGTGCGTCTCCATCGCCCACAAGGCAACTACAGAGAACTCGGATAACAAAACTAACCATCTTTGTTTTTAACAAGCTGCCTGATCAGTTAAAGAAAATGCCCTTCTGCTGAGTATGCAGCCTTGAATACTGGAAAAGTTATAAAGTCCAACACCTACACCAGCCTTTCTTAAAGCAAAGCCCAAGTCCTCAATGTATAGATGTCAAAAAAATGGAAGCATATACCATGCTCATGGATAGGAAGAATTAACATCATTAAAATGTCCATACTACCCAAAGCAATCTATAGATTCAATGCAATCCTCATCAAAATACCAAGGGCATTTTCACAGTAGAACACAGTCCCCTGCCAGAGCTCACAAATTTCACATCCCACCTGGTCCTCCAGGAAGCCTAGTAGCCGCTATCACTGCTACTAGGACTCCCAGTTTACACCTGCCCATCCTTGTTTCCACAGTAGTGCCTGGCACGTGGCACGCACTCCATGACATAGACGTAGCTGAGCTCAAGTTTTAAAAACTATTTCCATGAGTTATAGTTACCAGCAGTTACTGAGGAGGTGGCACAAGGTCTCGGACTCAGTTGAGGAAATGGAATTATTTGGTGCACCTGTGGGCCAAGCCAGGTGTAGACTCGCCCAGCCATGAAAACCATCACTGAGGCCACCTGGATGGCCGGAGAGCGACCTGTCCCTGTCTGTGTACTTACTTCCACGTGCCATTTCTGAACATGGGTTGGACGCTCCAGGAAGAGCCGAAGATGTTGAAAGCCTTGGAGAAGCAGTCGTTGTAAATGAAGCCCGTGTAAATGGAGAAGATGCCCATGAGGAGGATAAGGTAGCGCCCATGGAAGAAGGTGTTCCAGATCTGGCTTGGGAGACACAGAAGCAGCTGTCAGGGGGCTCTGAGCCAGGCCCGGAGGCACGTGTGACAGGGTGTCTCTTCAGCAAGGCACGCAAGCCTGTGCAGAGGGCCACACGACCAGGCGCACATCAACACCACCCAAATACCGACCGCACACACATCATGACTTCCCGGAGCTTCTACAGGTGACTCAGAAAAGCTCTGGACTGGTAGTTGCTACTGTGGAAACAAAACCTAGAAGTCTCATATTCTTGAGTTCAGCCTTGGTTAGAAAACGTAACTAAAGCAGAAACTGAGGCCTCACCTGTGAAAGAAGGGACTTAAAGAAGGGTGGCTGTTGTCTCAAGCACTTCCAGGAGGTCAGCACTGAGCTAAATTTTACAGCAAGTCAAATCTATACTCATTTTGGGTCTTCATTGTAAAGTTGAGTTTCTAAGTACATCCACCAAGAAGAGAAAGTGCTTCCCCCTAATACTGTATGATGTATAACAACCATCCTCAGAACTGCTGAGTCTTCAAATATTTATTACAGGAAACTACATCTATTAAAATGCTTGTCATACCCAGCTGGCATGGCTCAGTGGTTGAACGTCACAGTTCAATTCTTGGTCAGGGCACATGCCCAAATTGTGGGCTCCCTCCCTGTAGGGGGCGTGCAGAAGGCAGCCGATCAATGACTCTCTCTCATCATTGATGTTTCTATCTCTCTTTCCCTCTCCCTTCCTCTCTCTGAAAGGAAAACATTATATATATTAAAAATAAATAAAATAAAATAAAATGCTTGTCACGAGCCCTGACTGGGTAGCTCAGTTGGTTAGAGCATCACCCCAATATGCCAAGGTTGTGGGTTCAATCCCCCATGAATGCAAAAATAAGTGGAGCAACACATTGATGTTTCTCTCCCTTCTTCTCTTTCTAAAATCAATCAATCAATAACAATTCTTGCACCCTGGCAGGCATGGCTCAGTGGTTAGAGCATCAGCCTGCACACCAGAGGGTCGCGGGTTCAATTCTGGTCAGGGGCATGTGCCTGGGTTGAAGGTTCGATCCCCAGCCCTGAGCGTGTGGGAGGCAACCGGTCGATGTGTCTCTCTCACATCAATGTTTCTCTCTTTTCCTCCTCTCTCTCTCCTCCTCCCCCTTCTCTTCCACTCTCTCTAAAAATCAATGGAAAATATACTTTCATTCCTTGGATGAGGATTTTTTTTAAAAGTGCTTGTCATGAAAAACAATATTGGTCATAGGTTAATTTATCACCAACCTTGCTTATGATTAACTCACTATGACATCACTGAACTAGCTCTAGTTAAGTCAACCTGTAAAAAGAGATTGCAGATAGTCTTAAAATTCAGAACACAGTCAAAAGCATGTTTCCATTTTGTAAAATGCAGTAACAGTGGCCATAAAGTGACGCCAGCCGATTAACTTTGAAACAATGCAGACTCTTGAGTTGTCTCAACCTTCAATCACTCTGAAGGAACTTCATGGAAGGTGTTGAAACTGCAAGTGTAAAAGTGAAGGCACGGTATTTGGGAGGTCTCAGTGTTTCACAAGAACACTGGCGTGGGCTTGTGGGAAAAGGACTTTGCCATGAGAAAATATTTGTGATATTTTTTATATGTTTTTTTATTGAATTTTAGAGAGAGAGGGAGGGATTGAACCTGCAACCTTTCTGTGTACAGGACGATGCTCCAACCAACTGAGCCACACTGGCCAGGTCTGTGACATTTTTTTAAGTGAAAACAGGGGGGCTACAAATTAATATGCGCTATTTGATCCTAATTTTTGAAAATTATATACTTTTGTATAACCACAGAAAAGAAACAAGAAAGCTAATACAAAAACAATTATAATTTTTTCTAGGCAGATGTATTTTCCCAATGAACACATACTGCTTTTGTAATCAAAGAGGGGGAAAATCAATGTTAAAAAAAAAAAAAAAAGGAAAGATGGGTGCCTGGCCAAGCAATGTACAAAAAAAATGAAACTGCTAAAAGGAACTGCACCAAACCATCCAAAGGATTGACCTATGACCAGGACTTTTTATGTTGAATTTTGGCCCTTTTTTACTTTCCATTTTCCCCTTACTTTTCATAAAAACATGCTGCTCCTCTGGCGAAAACAACACACACACATTTTAAATGTCCTACTTACAATCCCGAGGAAATCAGGGGGACATCGGGTGGCCACCCACCTCGTTGTCCGTCTTCTGGGCGAGCAAGCGTCTCTCGTTGTGGACCATCCAGAGGGCCGCCAGGAGCATCACGGTTCCGTGGCCACAGTCCCCAAACATCACGGCGAAGAGGAAGGGGAAAGTGATGATGGTATAGGGGGCTGCAGGCGACACCGCGGCGGCCTGAGTCTCCCCGACAGCCCTCGGGGCTCCCCACGAAGACTCCTCCACACGCTCCTTGTCACATGCTGGCTGCCTTGTGTCTTTCAGATTCTGTCACCTCTCAACATCCACACCCCTGACACTTGCTCGGCTCCCACACACATCAGCTCATCGATGAAGAAACAGTATTATCCCCCCTTTACAGATAAGCTGAGTTTGGGAGCGGTTAAGTGACTCGCCCAAGACCACAAAGTCCAATGGGATTGAAAATCAGTTCTCTAAGTGCCTTCTGGTCTCGTTCCGCTTCCACCTTTTGTCTGTTTCTGCACCATTCGCACGGACCATATACCCCCAGCAGTTACTCACAGGACCCTCAACCGATGGGGCCCCTGCATTAGGGGTCACGAATTAGATTGGGACTCAGGCTGGACAAGAACAGCATCATGAACTGCTTGGCTAAAGGGCATCTGGTCTACCCCTTTATTTTACAGTCCAGGCCACCAACCTCACAGTTCATGTCACTAAGAATCTGACTCCAAGTTCTGCATGTTCCCACCTCTCCACACAACTATGAGGCCATGAAGATGTCTAGAGATGACCCTCACTGAATTGTTAAGCAAACAAAAAAAGAATTTGGCTGCCTAATAAGGCTGCAGTTTAAGGGAAAATAGGTGAAATCCTGACAAGGAACGAATCTTCCACTAATCACCTTCACAGGGGACAATGCAGAGCATTCAAAAACCAAAGAAGATTTCAGGAAAGTTAGTTTTAAGCAACTCACCCCCTGGGCTGCCACCGTGAGGGTAAATCTTACCCAATTTTCATTTTCAAGCAGCTCGGGCATGCAACAGACCCTTTACCTGGGTTTATCTCCCGGTAATTGCCTACACCATACGCATCTACAATGTTCTGGAAGCCAGCGGTGAATTTATTGGTCCTGTTAAACGTGGGAGGCGCTGTTTTAGACTGCACTGCTGTCAGGATGGGGGCCATGGAGGACCCGCTCAGTTCCTGCAAAAAAGAGCGTGTGGCAAAACCGTGAGGAGGGGAGCCTTGGGTTGGGCATCGGCACATGGATCGCAGGGCAACTCCTGCCTTCACTTGCTGGGTGAACGTGGGATAATTACTTGACCTCTCTGAGACTCATGATCTCTTCTGTCAAAGTTATTACCTTCCTAACACTTATCTAACTTATCTTGCAGGAGAGACGACAAGAGAGTAGAGTTCCTCCTGATTCTCTGGAGATTTCCATTCTCCTGCTCCTGGAATGCATATTTACGCCCCAGTTCTGGGGCTGGCTCTACTTTTCCTTTCCGTCCACTTAGTCCCTCAAGAGTTCATCGCCTTCCCAAATTTCGTTTCCATCTTCCAAATGGCCCTGACCCTCTCCTAAGTTTCGATTCTTTTTTCATTGCCTGCCTAGGCTTTCAAACTCTCATGTCCCAGCAACCCCACATACTCCAGGACTGGATTCATCAACTTGCCCTGAAGCCAGCCTGCTCCTTCGGCAGTCTCCATTCTCCAAATTCCCAAAACTATGGGATCTGCAGACTTTTCCCTTCTCCTGATTCAATCAACCAACCTCCAAATCTTGCAAGCTGAGCTGAGCCCCAGCCTCCCCACCTTCCCACCTTCCCCCATCTCCTTCCCGTTTACTTTACACTCCAGACTACATAATCCTTCTTTTAATAAAACTAAACAGGCAAAAAGCACTACTTTAGTCATGTTACCCTCTGACTCAAAAACCTTCAAAGGCTTCCCATTACGTAGAGAATGAAACCAGGACTCTTTAGCCTCAGAATCGAGACTTCTTTACAACTTTAGCTTAATCCTCTATTCACACCTTCACCCCACTGCTTCTCCCCGGAAACCAGCCAACCCCACACTGGCCACCTCCCCTGTTCACTCGCCCAAGTAGCAACCACTCTCCAAGCTCACTCCCAGGAACCTTCTGGTCACTCCAGACTCCACCAGCATTTACTACCTAACACCATGAGGTAGGGATCGGGAGCCCCACTTTAGAGGTGAGGAAACTAAGGTACAGAGAGGTTAAGGACCTTCCCCAAGCTTACACACAGGTAGAGGAGTCATTCCTCTCTGATTACATCTCCTGCCCCGTGAGTGATATGACCTTCTTGAGGTCAAGGACTGTGGCTTCCTCCTTTCTCTCTAACATGCCCCCCAGCAGGAGATAAAATAGTAGCCCAGTCTAAGTATTTTTTGCATATTGTTGATAATAATAGCTATAGGGCCTTCTACTCCTACCAGGGGAAATACTTTGATTCTTTCAGAGGCTGAAGAGACTGTAGAAAGAGCCCGAAGCAGCCTTGTAGAACTTTGACCCCTTCGTGATTACAGAACAACACTGTTCAGTGAAATCCTTGCCTTAGGACAACTCTCCCAAGGCTCCCCCTGGGAGTTTCTAAGATGCAAACTGGATCACGTCACCCAGCAGGGAGTAAAATCAGCTCCCTCGCACCCCTGTGCTCCTTCAGGACCTGCCCTGCAGCCTCTCCGTGACCTGCTCCCATTCCTTAGGCTCCTGCACTCTCTCTCCAGCCACTAGTCTGCACCGCACACTCCCCACCTCTCCTCTGACCACCCTGCGAGGTTCAGCGCACGCATCACTTCCTCCAGGGAGTCCCATTTGGGGAGTTACTGGACCATCATGTGGGGACATACAAGTCCTGCCTCCTAGCTACAGGACCATAGCCAAGTTACCTCCACTCTTGTGCCTCAGTTTCCTCATCTATATAATGGGGATAAAGACAGCTCCCATCTCTTAGTCCCATCCTACTTCAAGGCCTTTACCTTCCAACCCTTCAGCCTGAAAGATGAAAGAAACTGTGACTAACTGTCAGACGCCGGGAAGATAAGGAGTTTCTGACATGTGCCCTACCCCCAGGTTACAAACTGAAGATACAAAGACAAAGGGGACCGTCCTACCAGCAAGTCACTTATTAAGTTCACATGACTCAGTGCCCTGG